GCGACGGGTTGTGCTGGGGGAGGTAGTAGTCCACCTTTGTGGGCCCGGCGCTCCTTCCGCGGGAGAGCGGCTTCTGCCAACAGACCATGCCTTCGCCCCGGTCCCCACCCAGCCGTGCGTACAGATGTGGCCCTAGAACCCTGCATTGGGGCAGGAGGAAACGGAGCCTCCTTTGCAGCATGATGCGGAGGGCGCTGCGGGGACTGGCCATTGACTTGCATGGGCTTTGGATCCAGCTGTAAAACCTCATCTCCTTTAGGAACTGAGGCCCTGCAAGGTGCCTTCTCCAGCTAAGCAGGGGCGGGTTAGGCCCGCAGCCGAGCCGTCTGGCAGGGGCGCTGCGCCGTCACAGTGCTGGCTCAGCCCGGGCTGGGGGCGCAAAACCAAGTTGCTGGCCAGATGTGGGCATCCAAAATGTGCTTCTGTCCTGGCCCTTTTCCCAACACTGTCTTGCTGGGCATGGAAATTCCAACAGGTCGCGGCGCGATTCTTCTTTGTGCCCTGGCGGGCTGGGCAGGGCTCCCTGTGTTCCACCCCAGAAGTGGCTGCATCTCAGAGGGAGGAGTTTCATCCCTCCCCTCTGGAGTTCAGAGAGCTCTTTGGAGCCCTCTTGGACGAGGGGGGGCAGGCACGCTGGACTTCGACTCCGGACACTGGGATTCAACTCCTGCTTCTGCCATCTGAGCGTGGAGCCCAGACCTTCCCAGGGTAATTAGGCACCTCACGTCCATGGGAATCAAAGGGAGTGCGGTTCCTAAATCCCTTTGAGAATTGGGACCTGGATCTCTGTACCTCGGCCCCCCTCCTGTACAATCAGGACCCTGCTCCCCTGGTGTATTTGGGTTGTAACCTCTTCGGTAGAGCAGCCACCAGCAGGGAGCCCTGCTCTCAGCTCTCACGGGCCAAGGAAATAAGATCCGGTTGCGGGACTGCGCTCCCACCCCGTCGGGCAAGGGGAGGCGGTGGGTTTCCAGCGCCGGGCGCTCAGAGCAGGGAATGACGCCGCAGGTTGGGCGGGAAGCAGTCACACCAGACAGCCGCTCACCCCAGAACTAGCTCGGAACATTCTCGCGGGGACCAAGCGGGGAGCCGAGGCTGCTGCGCGTGCCCCTGGGAGGTTCTGCTATTTCACAGGTGCAGACTTTCAGCGCCGACCTCTGCGTTTCCTGACACATGTCACCACGCGGAACAACCCCCCCCCCCCCCGAAGGGTCCGGTCTCCAGAGGAACTGGGCAGGCGTCCCCGTTAACGCCCTGCGGAGGGCTAGAAATGAACGAGGGGGAAACCTTGTTAGGGTTGATCTGATCTTTACTGGCACAGAGCCCAGCGCTTTGGGGGGAGCTAGCGGATAGATACTGCATGTGGAGACACAAGATCCCAGGTCCAACCGGGATTCTGCCACCCACAACCCCGGTGGCCTTGGGCACGTCACTTCATCTGCTTATGCTTTAGTTCCCCCTCTACTTGGAGCTCATTGGGGGGAAACCTTGTTAGGGTTGATCTGATCTTTACTGGCACAGAGCCCAGCGCTTTGGGGGGAGCTAGCGGATAGATACTGCATGTGGAGACACAAGATCCCAGGTCCAACCGGGATTCTGCCACCCACAACCCCGGTGGCCTTGGGCACGTCACTTCATCTGCTTATGCTTTAGTTCCCCCTCTACTTGGAGCTCATTGGACTGTAAGGAGGATGCAGGAGCTACCTGCCCCGGGGCTTGGCGTCGCTCTGCAAAGACCTGCCTTTCCCGTGAGCGAGCCAGGGCCCAGGGAAGAGAAGGCAGGCGCCAGGTGGACACTTGCAAGTCAAGCTGAAGATCAGGTTCCCCTTAGGGTCGGATCTGAGTTAAGACTGCACCTCCCCCCAGAACACGGCCACAGTCAGACACGGTTACTCGGCCCTCTGAGCTTACAGGCAGCGCACGCAGGACAGACGGACACGCAGGCTGCATCTACACTGCACGGCTATTTTGGGAGATTTTTTGAAATAACGGGCGCTATAAGGGAAGGTGCGACAGAGCCTCTTATTTCGAACTTCGGCGCCGTGGAGACGGGCCAGATTTCAAAATTGCCTATTTCGAAATAAAAGGCGCGATGTGCAAGTCTGATCCCAGTGCAGGGGGCTGTGTGGACGGGGCCAAAAGCCAAGTTCGGCGTGTGGGGCGCTAGCCACTAGGCCGTACTGCCTCCCCAAAGGCAAGATCATTTTCTGTCCTTCCCTTTCTACTGGGCAGAGCCGGCCCAGCTGCCCCTTTGCCCAGC